GCTCGAGAAGTCACAGTTATAGGAGAGATGAACGTCAGTCAAAAAGCAGAAGAAATAAAGATAAATATCTTTCTATTGAAAAGCGTACTAACTATAACCCGTAAGTTATATCAATGTTTATTTTTCAATTCATCCATATAGTATGCTAAATGATTATCTACAAGATGGTATTGGCATAAGCTTTCATTGCCTGACTCCTCAGAATCAGATAGGAAATATAAAAAATCACCTAAAACTACTGAACAAAGAAAAAACAATAAAGAGAAAGCGGTAGAAAAAGGTATAATTTAATTGACATGCATATTTATATAAATCAATGTGTTACAATCGGGATATGCAGATTTGTTTACAACCTTTTCAGATCTGATCAATTTACCTTTATGAGATGTTGAAATTCTTGATATGTTCAAAGAGTTCGTAAAAACTAAAATGAAAAAACCGGAATCAGAAGATATTCCTCCTCTACGCTTACCTGAAATAACTTAGGAGAATAATGACTTATCAGATATAAATAGTGACTATGATAGTATACAAAGCCATTATTCACAGTCGGCTTCCAAAGAAAGAACTAGTTCTTCACGGCTAGTTTCTAAGAAAATAAATGAAAGATCTAAAAGCTCTAGTTCTTTAAGATCCAATTCAAGATGTTCTAGTCCTGATCAGGATGAAAATATTAGAATACCCAGTATCTAAAATTGACAGACCTACCTGACGATCTCCGGGAAGCCTTGAGGGTAAGTGAATTTTCATTACTTTCACTTTATTTATATACGTACTAATGCACTAATAGCATAACTTTTATATTTAGCGTTAAGTTTTTTGGATAATTGAAAGGTTACCTTCTGAAAGTCGATTGAAATTGGATAAGACGTTCAATAATCAACGTCATTTCGTAAAAAATACAATAGTTCCAGCTGTTATTAAAGCTTTAGATTCAGATACGTTTCCAGTTGTAGAGACTATCATATATGATATGATTCACAATCGACATAAACATCAGCGTGAAGAATATTTGAAAAGACAGCAATCATTGACCTTTCAAGACGAACAGGTCAGACGAAAGCATTCAAATAGTCAAAGGAATGATGTAATTTTAATTAACGAAAAAATCCTATTTGACTCTTTTTATTCTTCATAATTCTATTATACTCAATAATTACAGAAACGAAAAAATCAAACTAATACAATTGAACACTTAAGAATCATTAATGATCCATTGGTTCAAATGTTCAAGGACAGTGAACTTTAGCTAATTAAGAATGATTCTGCATATCACTCACTGAGATTTCTGAAACTGATGAGAATGATCCTTCTGGTAAAAGGAAGATTGTTGTAAAGGATCTGCAATGGCGCTCAATGACAATGAGATAAATGAATGTTATTTAAATTAAGCTTTTAATTATCATTCCACAAACTAATTTTTTCTTAATTTTATTTATAGTTATGATCATTTTTGCGGGATTATATCGATCGTATATTTTAGAATCATCTAAGATCCCAAAGAAATGAACCTGTATTTATGATAACGTTAATACACATGACAAGAAACCCACAGCACTATTTCAAGCTCCTAAGTGAACAATTGACGGTTACAAAGGTTCTTTGAAGATAGCTGTCAGAAAGGCTTGTAGCGAGTGATTATCAAATACACTTTCCTAACAATTGAAGCCACTTGATCCAAATGATGACGAAAATGTTGATTTACAGTTGAGACCAACGAGAACAAAAGAGGAAAATCCAATGGAGAATTTACGGCCAAGACAGAGAAGACAACAAGTTAGAAACTGAGAATAATGAGGAAAGAAACTGACTAATCGTTCAAAATTAGGGACAATTTTAAGCTACTGCGGATTACTTATGAAACAATTAATAAATATTAAAAATTAAAAACAGTAATTTTATTTAATAGTATAAAATTCATTACACGCTAGCATTTTATTATAGAACAGTGAATACATTTCGTAACCAATGCTAATAATGCTAATGATTTAATAAATTGAATGATACTTACATTTTATTAATAAAATCTGTAAAATATACATAAATTGGATATTTCTGATTAGTTTTTATCAATTACTATAAAGAATACCGATAAGATACGATAAAATAAGTCTGATATTATGGATGTAAAATTTGAGATCAATTGGAAGATTTCTGATTTTAATCTTCTTTTTAATTTTTACCAATAGTCCGTTCTATTGTCACCTGATGAATTCCTGATATAGCATTCCGATTTGGGTTGATTGTATTCCTATTTGCATCATTAATTGACCACAATCGGCATTTGTAAATATTCTCTGATCGACATCTTGTCAGAGCCTAATAAGAAAGGCTATTGAGATCTGATTGGATGCCGATTTGTCATCGTTAGACTAGTGTAAGTAATTTCTAATAAATTTTAATAAATTTAATTAATTATAATTAATAATTTATTATAATAATTTATATATTTATAATAAATTTAATTATTTAATTATTATATTTTAAAAAAATATATATATTAATTAATTATTATAATTATAAATAATTATTAATAAATAAAAATATAAGTTTATATAAATTAGTATAAAAAAAAAAATAATTATTTATTTTAATTATATAATTAATAAATATTGTTTTATATTAATTATTAAATTAAATATTTTAATTAAATTATTTAGCTATATTTATTAAAATAATTTAAAAATTTATATATTTTAATCTTTAAATTAATATTATTATTCAAGAGACTTTTTTGTCATTTAACTATAACTAATAACTAAAATAGCTAAAATAGTCAAATAGCTAAATTTTGACTAAATAACTACATATTAATAAAGTATTGATACTTATTAGAATTTGATTAACATATAAGATTTTGAATTAAATTAATTAAATAGTTAATAGTAAAAAATTAATATTACTTTAAATAGTAAGTATATAAAATATTATAAAAAAAATTATAATATTTTAACATTTAGTAATTATAAAAAATAAAATAAAGTTATTGAATTTATTATTTTAAGATTATTTACAATATTAATTATAAGTATTTAACTGCTTCTAATTCTAGTCACAAGTAAGTAAATTCAAAATTTTTTATTTAAAAAATATATAACTAACTAACTAAATTAATATATTGTGTAATTACTATCTGATTCTATAAGTATAACTGTACATCTTTTCATGCTAGTTACCAAATTTATAGTAAGTACAGGTAATAATTAGTTTCATTTTTTTGTAAGTTTTTCTTTTAACCCTTTAATTGATCAAATTTTTTTTTTGTATATTAATTTTCATTAACCTCTAAATATTTTCTATAAGTTTTAGTCTAGAAATATTGATGGCCAAGAAAGTACCTTAATGTTATTTTCATTCTTCTATTTTTTTGCAATTTTTGATCGATGCTTTAGATCATTATCTTCTTACAAGATCCAATCTATGTTACCTTTACCAAAAAGTTTAGAGGTAGAAGTCAGAAGATCTTGCTTATAAATAAAATATATAAATTTAGCATTAAGATTCCTTTTAAAGTAAAATAACTTACTAAATCCAGAAGCAGAAAAACATTCTCAAATATAAACTTTTGGTAGATGCTTAATAAAATAAAACACATTTTTTCTACCAAAAAATTGCTAAACCTTTTGTTTGATGTATATAATTAAAATATATTCTCATCTGTAAAAATGACTCGATTTCAATCAAAATTCTTATATTTTTTGCTCATTGTAACCTTTTCTTTCAATGATCTTCTTTAAGCAAAAATTTAAAATTTTCATTACTAAACTTTCCTTCAGACTTACAAAGATATTATCTTATTATTTCTATACTAAACCCAATACTATTTTTTTCCATTTTTTCTTGTATTTAAATAGTTATTATAAATCTTATCATCTTATTTTGTGGTTATTACATAATATCACCCTGGTCTTTCTGAAGTATTTAGATTCTGATTTTCATGATATCTTTTAACCAATAAATATCTGTAGACTTACTACAGTATACCTGTTTAGCAATAAATCTAAAACTAAACTTTAGACTAGCTGGATACTCATGTAAAAAGACAATTTCATATTGTTTTTCTAAAGAAAACTCCATTTTTCAAGCGAAAGTTTGATGATCATCTAAATTTTTTTGTATCATTAACACTTATAAATTTATAGGTGATCATATACTGTATTATATTATATTCTGGAAAATTTAAAGAGTAGTTATATAATAATTTTAGACATTTTAGGTAATTAGATACTTATGACCGCTACTGTATATATAAAATATTTTAAAATTTTAAAATTAATTATTATCAATATATGTTAATTTTTTAATTTTTTATTTAATAATTATAAAAAAAATAAAATTTATTTTATTAATATCTAGATGATAGTCAATAGAAAAGCAGAAATCAAATTTTAATAAAATTTTTATTATCTATTTAACTGATAACAGTTTTATACTCAAAATTAACTTAGAAATTAAAATTAATAAAAATTTTAGATTTTCCTCTTTTATATTTTGATATTGATAAATAATAAGATATTTAAGTTTAAACTTTTTAATTTTTTTATAATAATTTATTATAAAATGTATTAAATTATATTTATTATTTATATTATTTTCATTATCTTAATTATTTATATTATTTTACATAATATTATATTAAAATTTTTTAATATTAGATAAAATAATAATTTATTTATCGTATATTACACTCTAAATCATTTCAAATTTTAACCCTTATAATTATTAATTTACCAATTAAAATTATGAATTTTATCAATATAAAAAAATTAAAAAATTATTTTTAAATATTATTATTATGTTTTAAATATAAATATGTAAAAAGTATAAATATAAAAAACTTTTAATATTATACTAAATATCTGAAATTTACATACTTAAAATATTATTTGTTATCTTTATATTGAATATTTAAAAATTTATAAAAAAATTCATTAGATAATAATATATATATAAAAAAAAATTTCTTTTAAAAAATAAAAAATGTTTTTTATAGTAAGTTGGTAAAACTAAATCTATTAATAATTATATAATTGATAGGTTGAAAAAATTTTTCATAAAATTTTGGATTCGCGTTTTCTGAAATACATTAAACTACGCGTCGTCTTTACAATTTTTTTTTTTTACATTATGAGTAGCACTCGTTTATTTCAGTCAAAATATGCAAAAGATAAACAAAAGCAAATAGATAACTCAACAAATTCTCAAGCGGTTTATTTATGGTTAACGAACGAGCTTGGTTACAGATTAGGACATTCTACGTCTATAATAGACGACGCGATTTCCGATAAAGAAATCACCAGGGAGGATGTACAAAAGTAAGATATTTCTACGATGTGATTGTGATCAAAGGCAAAGTTATTTGAATATTTATTATAATTCCATTAGGCTTTGTAAGAATGAATTCATTCCGATTTTCAAGTTTCTTATGGAACGCGTAAGACCTACCAAGTATTATATACATTTTAATTATATGGCTTAATGAATTTTTATTTTAAATAAAAATCTGAAAATACACTTTTTATGTTCTATCATTAATATCAGGCAAGTAGTTCAAATTCGTAACGAATATCTTGCGTAAGTGTACTAAATTAATATTTTCTAAGTTTTATTATTAACGCAATACATAAAATACAAACTCATCTCAAGTTTCTACCTAGAGATCAGCAACTGAAAGTAAAATCGCATCATGAAAACCGAAAAGTAAAGCTTGAAAAAAGATTGTCACAGATCAATACAAATATAAAAGATGAAGAAGAACAAATTGAACGTTTAATATCGCGTATAGCAGATATTGGTAATATAATAAGAAAATATATATTAGAATGAACTCATTAATTAATTTTAAATGATATAATCCTTTGATTAGAATTTCAGATAAGAAACGTTCAAGGAGAATTGCGTGAAAAGAAGAATAAAATTTATACTAAAGAAACATTCCGAGAAAATTGTAAGTCTTTTGCAATAATTGAGAATGAATATCGAAATCTCCTAGAAGAACATAAAAGAAAGTTTGGAATGAAGGATGATATAAGGTATTTTAAAAAATATATTATTTGATGTCATTCTATTAACGCGTAAAGAATTAATTATAAGAAATAAAATTTTAACGCAGTATGACGCAAAAAGGAAGTGAGACAACATTGACCGTAAGAACACCTTTAATAAAATATCAATAATCGACAAAATTTTTTTTTATACAACTTAACTTAAATAAATATTGTAAAGATTAGGATCAAAAAAGTTTGTGAAAAACTTAGATCGTTTGGAGAGAATATTGCTATGAGGTTTGATCAATTTTAAATTTTAAGTCTTGATAGTTTATAACAATTTCTAACAATAATTTATAGTAAAGAAGTTGTTGATGAAAACACGAAAAAAGATATTCGTTTTTTAATTGAGGTTTTAAAGTTGACATATTTTTTATCATTATGACTTCCGGAACTTCATTTTAATATCTCCTTTATTTTCTAATTTATAAATAGGAAATGCTAAGTACATTTCCGCCGAAATTATTGCTTAAATCCGTGACAAGTGTAATGAAATCTGCTTCCAAAGATTTGATGTGGTATATCTTTTATAGATTCAAGAATATATATTTACACTGAAATTTTATAATATATATTAATGTAATATACATGTTGGTTTTTATATATAGTTCATATACCGATAAGTTCGTTGAAAAATCTGATACTTCTGTTGAAGATTCAATCCAAAAAGTTCAGCGGTTGCTACAGGTGACTATTTTTTTTTTTTTTTTGTTTCAATTTTTGTTGATTAACGTACTAAATTATTTTCGTAAATATAATATAAGCAATGTAGAGAAAATCATGTAGAGAAATTCATTGAAACTGAAGCAATTCTTAACGATATTTTTAAGCTGAAGGAAAAAATCCAGCAAGAAATTAAGCCCATAAAAGCATATACAGAAAAGAAGTATATGCATATACCGATGGAAGATTGTATAATGTATTTATAACAGATATTTAATCTTATAATGTAAATGATCAATTATTCAACTTCTAATTTAATATTTTCTTGGGAGGAGGTAGACAAGTATTAAATTCCAATGCTGCGCTAGAAGCTAATCAAGTCGCACTTAAGATGGTTGTGAGTTTTGCTGACATGCTTGAAAGTCAAAATCAAAATTTGGTGGTTTCTCGTGACGAGTTATCGACCTTTTTTGACCTAGTTAATGGTTATAAATCAGATATAGTAAGCTACTTTTATTATACAACTTCCTGCTTATAGCTTGTTATAATAACTTTGAAAATTTTGAATAGGAAGAAAAACAAAAAACCATTCAACGCTTGAACTATCTCAATCAATTAACAAGAACGAACTGTATTGGAAAAGCTGAAGAGGTACCTTTGATGATTAGTTAATTATCATTAAAAAAAAAAAATCTTGAAAATTTTTCATAAAATTCGTTTCTTAGATTTCGGGTTTTCTACAAGAGAAGCTTTTCCCTTTTGCTAATCATATTGAAACTTTGGGTAAAAACCTCGATAATATGATGATGAAAGAGAATGAAAAATTCAAAATTTTAAATTTAAGATCGGCAAAACAAATCAAATTACATAAGTATGTTTCATTATTATTCATATGTAAAATTTTAAGAAATGGACCAATAAATATCTTGTTTTTCTTAGCGATTTTCGAGCTATAAGCACACTTGACATTCATCGCGCCCTTGACGATAACTTTGTATACAATATAAAAGACCTGATCCATTGTCCAAAATATATGGTATGTATGTATGTCTATTGTTGTTACAAAATAATATATTAAGAAATAATTGTTTTATATTTTACAAGAGTGCCGATAGGATCTTTATGACTTTGTCTGATTTGAAACGCGAAGGTATCATTACATTTGGTATTATTGATTATTGATTATTTAAGATTCATTTATAATTTCTCTATAGGAATTCGTTGGTCATCCGTAATTCGTGATGCTGTAACGACTTTTGATAAAAACGCGTCATTCATGCAGGTTACGAATAGTATGCAGCAAGCAGCCGAAACTTTGAAAGGTAAATCAATAATGCATCCACTTGCCAAATATCCAGAATAATTTATATTTTTGATCTTAGGTTTATTGGATAAACAAGGTCACGGTTTCTTAAGTAAAGAAATCACACGTCTTAAACAAGAAATTGATACTATCGATAAGGCAGAAATTATTTTTCAAGAAATCCATGATATACTCGAAGAACGGTATGATTTAACATTTTTTATTGATTAAAAAAATAATCCTTGTTAATATTTTCTTTTTATATTTTATAATTAAATAGCGAGAAAATACTGAATGGACAAATTGGAAATCGGATTAAATAATTGAAGAATTTTATTGTATTAAAAATGTAAATGTTGATACTATGAATATATTATAAAATTTAGCTTAAATAAAACGCCCAAAAATAGACTAAAGCCACGTGTTCATTAAAGTATAAGGACCGAATCAAAATTTGACCGTTACATTTTACTTTCTTTTTTTTAATATCATTTAAAAATGTCGAATTATGCAACATATCATCTAACATTTGGACAAATAGAAGAATCTTTGGGAAAATTATGTACAATTAAATTGAAAAATAATGAAAAAGGGTTAAAAGGATATTTATACAATATAGATCCTGTGACTTCAACAATAATTTTATTACAGGTAAAATAAATTTAATTTCTGTAAAATTTATTTGAAATTATTTATATCCTTATTTTTAATAGGTTGAGAATAATTCTATTGAAAATGAATTACCATCCAAGTATAAAATTTTGGTTATTATGCACCATGTTGTATCAGAATTTAAAGGTATAATTAATATTAAATAAATAATTTTGTAATCTTAAAATAACATGATTTCTTTTTATAGTAAATAATGAGGAGAACGGAATACCAAGACATTTATTAGATAAAATGATTAATCAAAGGATTGAAGATTTTAAACATGATTCAGAAAAAATGCAACAAAGGAAAGAAAATTTGATTTCGTTATTCGAATCGGTAAATATATTTTTAAGAGTATATATATGTAGGTATAATATCGCTAAATCTTTCTAATTTTATTATTTATTCTAAAGAATCGAATTCAAACAAATCATACGAAAGATGACCCAGTTGTACATATTTTAGATAGAGCACATGTATCCCCACCTTATGTTATTTCTTCTATTGAATGTGATAATGACATTATTTTACAAAGAGTAAAAGACATGATAACTCAATTATCATTTAATTAAAATTCAATTAAATATGTAGTGGTTTAATGGAGACACGAGAAAGGGTTTTTTATTTCTAGTGCACTATGATTCCACAATAAATTTATTATAAAAAAAAACTATTATGGGAACGCAAAATCTATGAAGCAAAACGCTTCAAAAGAGAAAGTTGCTTTCATTTATTTGTGTTTCTATCAATTCACACTGAAAGCTTTCCCTCCCTACCAATTAATTGATAAGATAAGTTCTTTTTTTTAATTTTTTTTTTAATTTTTAATTTTTTTTTATATGCGTCGGTGGCTTAGTAGATTATCAGGTAACCCACAAAAAAATTTCATCTCATGTAATCTTATGCATCTAAAAATCACGTGAAATGAAATAAATTAGTAAAATGTAAATTTCTACAAATTAACATTTATATTAAACAAAATATAAGTATTAATATTTAATAGTAATATAATTGAGCATTTAATAAAAGTAGTAGATAGTATTAAGTAAAGTAAAGTAAATAGTTGAATTAAAATATTTATAAAAAAAAATTTTTTAATTTATATTTCAAAAATAGTTTAGAGAATTTAGATAAAAAAATAATAAAGATCTTTTTACATAAAAGTATATATATATATATTATGATTGATTGCATTAATTTTATCTTAATGTATTAATTAAGATATTTTTAACAAAATTAATATAAAAGTCAATTTTTGATTATTAATATTATAAGATAAATAATATGAAACTTTTGCAATAGAAAGAGAGAAAACAGCTAGAGAAAATCAATTTTACTTTTATAAGCCAAAATATGATTTTTAGATCAACATATGTTCAGATTTAGCATTAATTCATTTTTTATTTTTTCCAGCTGTTTTTCTCTTTTCTAATGCAAAGATTCCATATAATATAACTAATTAAAAATCTATAAATCTAAATTTACATACTAAAAATATTCTTAAAACATATAAGCAAAGTTTTTTAAACTATAATTATAATAAAATTTTAAAATTAAATAAAAATTTATTTTATATATTGTCAGCGTTAAAAATTTGCCTTAGAAAAATGATTTACAAAGTCATTAGATTTAATTTTATATAGATCATATTAAGAAAGGTCTTGATCTACATATTGCATTAGAAAATCAGGCTAATTGGGGCATACTGCAACAAAACCAGACAAAGTGAACATTGATATTATCAAGAATTTCAGGGATCAAAATTTAGTTGTGTATCAAATTGTTTTGCTGATGTGGATGAATTAAGTGACTGATCTATTCCGACATAAGAGCAAGGTCCCATAACAGTAGGGTTTCCATTCGTATAAATTTGATTATTCGAATTAATTTTTATTCGAATAAAATAAATACGGTGCAGATCATCTATAATCATTAATTGCTTATAGTAACAATTGGTCAACTTCAAAGTACTAAAACAAAAAAAAATTATATCATTTTAAAAAATTAACCGATAAGTTTTATTGTTCATGACTCAAGCTTCAAAACTTATCGGCTGGTTTTTTCTTAAACTGAAAATTGGCTGAGCCTTAGCATTTTGAAAATTCCGAATTTTGTTATACACTTAAGAAATTGAGACTAAGTAAATTTCGTGTAATAACTTTTTTTTCATAGAATATTTTATACAACATACATTTGATTTATTTGACTTATTTTTTTCCTTTTTTTTATTAATAGATAAAGTTCTTTACAACAAAAAAGTTTAACGAACATATTAATATTACATTAAAAGAAAATCATTACCAAATTTGGTCATGAGATTCAAAATATTGTAACACGAAAATTATTGTTGCACTTCTGAGCATAACTTTCAAATTTTAAAAAATCTATGAAAAAGAAAATTTGAGACAAATTTTTTTTTTTAGATTTATAGGCTCCCTTTTTAAAGCTGAATTGAATGGTGGTGGGTTTTTTAAAATCCAATGTGTGGATCACATAATATTTCAAAAATTTTAACTTTTGAGTATAGATGAGCCGCACTGTATATACATCATAACTTTATTTTCGCTAAATGTTTTCGGATGGCAGAGAGGTAGTCCATTGTTTCGAATTTCCAAAATCCCATTGGCGGTTAAGCGGTTAAGAACCTGTAGTATTTATTTTCTAATTCGTACATATGTATACTTCGAAACTTTATTTTCAATTAAATGGTATTTGACAAATTATTTCAAACAATATAATTATAAGTATATAAATTATGTACGTATTCTTATTAAAGTCGAGAACACTTTTATTTGAATTCATTTTATATAAGCTTTAACAATTATTTTTCATAAAGTAGAAGGTCCTTCAAAGCTTTTGGAATTTTTAACACATCCCGAACTATATTTCTTCCATTATTATCGACTATTAGGTCAAGATTTTTCATAATTGAAATTTGTTTCATGATTTCTTCCTGAAAATCACAGAAGTCTGAGTGACTAAAGATCAATAAACTATGATTGCATAATTTTACTTACATGAAAAATTGCCATCAGATAAAGAATTCCCTTGTACTTCGATATGGCATCAAGTGAAAATGGTAACAATGTAGAATATAGTTCAGACGTCAGAAAAGTGCCATCTTTTAGCATGTTGAGCGAGTATAATGTCATACGATATTCTAATATTCAATTAAAATATTAAAATACAAAATCAATACTTAAATGTCTCTTTTTAAATAAATATAAATATTTACCAATCACTTGTAAACTAAAAACTTTAATTTCAGTTGCATTTTCTACTGGAATTCGAAGGTGATCAAGCAGGATCGCAATTAGGTTTAAAATATCAGTATGTAGAGATTTTTTTGTATCGTTAACAGCGTGATCATGTGATGGTGGCGATGGCGGACCAGATACTTCTACGTGAAAAATTTCTTTATCATCGAATAACCGGACACCTTTCAGGATAATTAAGGAACAATTGTTAAATAATAAGTTGAAATTATGAATATACGTCATTGCTTACCTCTTACATCAACCTTAACAATACCAGAGTTTGTAGGTGTTTTCGTTAATTTTGATGCTGGTGAATGTGATTCGATCCAATCAAAACACATATTACCAAATGTGACTTCATAAAATTTGAACAAAGAAGAAATGTTTTGAACGATATACTTTCGTTCTCCAATTTTTCTTGACAAATTAGGAAATATATCGACCATATTGTAGCTAGAATCAAGAAACAATGCTAAGTGACAAATCATCTGAAGAACAACAATAAATGAGAAAAAACTTACAAGTCCATTAATATCTTTTCACAATAAAGGCGAAACGTGTTGTTTTCATCACCATCAATTTTTTGCATTATTTCCGACTTAAAATTATTTCTCAATTTCTATAACATTGTAGCAAAGATGTTAAAAATTTATTGGCTTCTGATATAACATTAATTAATGTCGCGAATACCCGCCTTAAAAACATTATCAATATAAATATTTAAAGACTCCGTCCATACAGATGGTTTTTGAACTACAACTCGATCATGTTTCAATAATTGTCTCATGACATTAAGATACTGAACAATCCTTCCATCATTCATCTGTCGTTTATTTGGAGTAAGAAAAATTGTATCTTCATTATAATTTCGTGACGAGGGAGACAGTGTTTTTACTCCACTTTCTTCATTTTGCACCTAAATGGTAATAAGATTATGTCAAATTAGAAAATTAGCTACATTTTCAACAATTAAAAGTTTTAGAAAAAATCGCCGTACCTCATCTAAATTCCCTAACTCTGTTACTATTTCGAATTCATCATTTGATCCTGATATCAAAAAAGGATTATCATCAGAAGAGAGTTGATCTTGGGAAATGGATGATTTTTCACCTGGTACCCAAAAAGGATTATCTTCGTTATCATCATCATTATTACTATCCTGTTTGTATTACAAAGAATAATCAATTAAAATTTTGCTAGTCCAGCAATAGTAAATCAATGAAAACCATCACCTTATGAGTTCTGTTACGTTTTGATGTTCTTTCGTTGCTATTATCGAGGAACCTCTTCGCGATGCTGGTGGTAGTTGACGTGGCATATTTTTGAATTTGTTCTGTCGCCACCGTAGCAACGGTTATATGTTGGTTTGTCTGTGTACGAGAAATGAATCAAGAGTGAATTTTTGATCCATCACGTTAGCTAATTGGGGAATGAGTGAAATACCTGCAACTCCTGAATTTTCATCCTTGCCTGTTCTTCTTGTAAATTGTTTCTCGCTACAATATTTTGTCTTTCATTTTGAAATTCCCAAAAACGCTTTATTATTGATGACCGTTTACTTCCCTACAAGCAATATAAAACATGAGTACCTGTGCCTAACAGACTTTGTTTTATAATTGGTCCAATTCACATACAAGAAAAAATACAATAGGAAGCGTCACGAACAGTCAAGCACCTAGATTGTATTCAATTATTGAATAACTATCTTTCGCAAGCACTATGGTTCCCAAAGTCCATTGAGTATAGCTCATCAACAGATATGCAATCGTTCCACTACAAGCGCCACAGGTTGTAGAGTAGTTGATGTACTCAATTGTACTAAGGGTCTCAAGGTGGTTCGTGGAGTATACTTCACCAACAGACAAGCAGTCGTTCCCACTACAAGCGCCACAGGTTGTAGGGTAGTTGATGTACTCATGATCCTAATCCAAATAGTATGTACACTTTACTTGCCTTAAAAGCAGTTTTCCACTTTTGCACTTTCTGTCCAAACTCGGATACTTCAGTGTAGAATTTACTGATTTCATTCAGTTCTTTCTTGTAGCGATTATACTCGGTTTTCATGTCTTCTAAATTGCCAGCAGAAAGTCGAAAATCTAAAAATTTTTTAAGCGAAGGCTCACTTGTACTTTCCCAAAAGGCTAAATGATCATAAGTGATAGGTTATGTTATAAATCATAAGAACATCGGCACAGTTTATGAATAAACTTTATCTTACCAGGGTATTTCACAGCATTTAGACATTCAGGAAGAAGGTGCATAATATCAAGTTAAAGGTGGATCGAGAAAATTTTGTATATATATTATTTATTTTTTTCTACACAAAAGGAAATAAAAATGTACATAATAATAACAAATTACAACATAGCGGGCTTTATCTGTGATTGGTTGATCTATAAAGAAATTGATTGGATAATTTTATAATATGATGACGTCGCCTTTAATATTAATATACTTTCAAGACAATAAAAATATAAAAATAGGAAATTCTTGGCACATTTTTATTAATAACTTGTAATGAATTATTCAGTAAAGACATTAGTGTAAAAATTCTTGTAATAAAAAAAAATGTGATAAGTATACCTATTACTATAATACAAATATCTCATATAAAAATGACTAATTTGAGAAAAAAACCATGCCCACCCATAAAATAATATGTTGAAAGCAATTTTTCGTTTGATACAATCAATAGATGTACTGTTTGCTCATTATCTATGATATATTAAACTATTACACAATTTTTATCTAATAATGACTATTAAATAAAACTAATAACATATCACATACCATTATAGTCAGCCCCACAACCATTATTCATACCTTCTCTTTCCAGTAATCTTTTACATTATTTAGAACTATGAGATAGCCAACCAAAGTGTAAAAGTTATATAATTAACATTATAAATGTACCTTTTTAACTTTTACAATAAAAAATAATTTAATTTAAATAAATAAGTGCTTATTTATCAAGACTTCTCAAATTACTAACCGGTATATTAAACAGAATATAGTAGAGAGTATGGATCCTGGTAGTTATTTAAATTATTAATTTAAATTATTATTTTTAAAATGAACATATTATTTACTAAATGCAAAAAGTCTTCTATAACTAACTTCCGAATTACTCCACCTTTTTTAACATAGAATGAAATGTGTATTTTTGAATATGATAATTTTCTTATTTTCTGTATTTATGAAACTGCGTTCCTATTTAAAGTCAGGTGATGGTAATTTTTCATATATATATGATAATCATTTCTAAATTCAACCAATCATCATATTTAAGCCCACTATGTTCAAATTTAAATTTAGATGCGCACATTATTATCTTTATTTATTATAATAAACAAGTGTATAAACCTAACAAAAAATCAGACGCATATAGTGTGAGTATTTTATTATGGGAGTTGACTAGGTAATTTAGATGTAAATCATCAAAAATATACTTTGATATTTGATATTATCAAAGGAACTCATGAAGAATCTATTCCTGATACACCTGATGAATATGTTAACTTATACAAAAATAAAAATCGATCTGTATTATTTCTATTTTATTAAAATTTTTGTTATTTTTCTTAATCATTTTATTTATTTGCAGAACATTGGCGGGATAATCCAGAAAATAGACCTGACAATAATAACATTTTCTGTTTATGACCAACAATGTGTGGAAAAATTCATTGGTAAAGGTAGTCAATTTTTTATTAACTTGCTATTATTTTATTTATTATTTGCTTTTTAAGTTGTCTTTTCTCATTTTGATTATTAATAATGGTAAGCCAATTTAAATCTAGGCTATAATTATTTTTCATGGGGAAGTTGTCCAAATTTTCAATTTTTCTTCACAACAACCATATCTTTTAAATCATTTACCTAAAAATATTCCATTGATTCATCCAAGTTTAATTCCATTCATATACTTTCCTTCAATTTTAAAACAATTATAAAAAACTACAAAGTGAACATAAAATTATAAAATTATTTATATATATAGGGATAAGTGTATATGAAAAGTAATAAATATAATGGTTCTAATAAATACCAAAAAGCCATTGATTTTTTAGAAAAAGGATGTGATTGTGATTGTTTTTCCAGAATTCCTAAGGAACAATTTGCAGAATTAAGAGAATCCTTTCAAGCTCTTTCTAAAACAGAACAAGACATATTTTTAATGGCTCAACTTAAGGCAATGGATGGTGGATCAATAAGCACTAGTAAACGCCTTAAAAAGAAAACTAGATCTAATAAAAGAACTTTCTATCACTGAGATCACAATACACCTCTTTGTTAAGAAACTTACCTTAATATGTTAGGAGTTGGCAGAACTTATTTTGAAAACATTAGAAATCATTTGATAAAAAATGGTCTTCTACCAAGAATTTATGGTAATATTAAAAGAATGCCTCAATGGAAAACCAAAATGGTGATTGATAAAAATGTTGCTGAAGTAGTAAAAAATTTTCTAAAAAATTATGCTGAAGTCCATGGATTACCAAGTCCAGGAAGGAGTGTCAATAGAATAACTCAGTCAGTTATCTTTTTACCAGCTGAAATGAGTTATAAATCAGTGTATAGAGGTTTTCTGGCTAGTCTGGAAGAAGATAGTAATTTGAAATCCTTAAAATATGATGCATTTAGAAAACTATGACATCAATTAACACCAGAGATTCAAATTATGAGTCCAAGGACTGACTTGTGTGATACTTGTCAACATTTTCGAAATGGTTTACATTACAATACTCACCAAGAGGAAGAAGCTAAAAAATTACTCAAAAAATTTAAAGAACATTTGTCCAAGGCAAGATTAGAAAGAAATTATTATAATAAAAACACCAAATTAGCAGAAGAACAAAGAAAACTAGTTGATCAACATTATTCCAAGAGTAAAACACAATATTGTAATGTTGATGCTATTGCTCATTATAGTTATGATTGAGCTCAAAATGTTCATGTGCCACATTTAGATCAACAAGTAAGTAAA